GATGCTTAAAATAATGTCAATTGGAAATTAAGTCCTATTAAATATGAAGAATTTCTAAAGCATTTATACCATGACTGAAAAGTGCAACAGTGTTAAACAGAGTGGATGATACAAACACTCTGCTTTTAACAACATCAATATGAGATAATGTTCCACAATACATCTCTTCTCTGAACAATGTAACCTTACGCCTATAGTGTACAAGTCATAACATATAGCAATGAAACAAATCAAAACTGATACATTTTTATTCCAATTTTCCACCCAAGTGATTTGTCTTGGAGGTTTTGAATGCAACAAGACCAAAGATAACTGAAAGACCAAGTACAACAGAAAATATTCTGCTATTTCTCCTACACAAAAAAGGGGATTACTCTTGTGTTTCGATGTGCATTAAACAGTTATCAGGAACATTTTGACAAGAAGTTTGTTTACAAGATGCAGTGTCATAATAGACAATGATTGGTACTGAGGCCAATGACTATCGCTGCTTCAGTTTTTGTAACAGAGAAATCTTCCGGAATCAACCGATTCAAGTGATCTCTCCAACACATACCCTGTTAAGGTTGATATTTAAATTCTGCAGAATGACCCATAGTTGCATCAGTTTCACATTCAGAATGGCCAGTGAATTCCTGGCTCAGAAACAACTGCAACATCAATAGTGTGACATCATCATACATAATGGTATAATAATATCAAATACTATTTAATCAGCAAATGAATAATCTGCATGCAGTTTACATGGTAATCATGTCTTGTGGTGTTTTATTGCAAATTTCACCTGAAGGGATATGATGTAGTTTTTATTGCACATAAATTTTGATTAATCTCAAAGAAATAATTCCAAAATGCTGCATCCCCAAGAGGGTGGTGCGCACTATAGTCAAGAAAATATAGTATATCCCACAATGCATCCTGATTCAGATGCCCCACAAACATTAAAAGAAGTTGCAAATACTTTGTGATCTCTACCGGCTATAAACAGTCGAAAATACAGGAAGTTTTTCCTACTGCTTTCATGAATAAAAGTTTAGCAAGTGGATAATGTGTTAATATTGTTCCATTTCTAAAGCACCGCATCTTTAAAACCGAATCAATGAATACCCTATAAAATAGCTTACCTACACTCCTACCAGCATGAAATAGACACACACAGCATGCAACCTTCCACTCTATCACAGCACCCTTGTATCCTATCACAGCAGCCTACCATGGAACCAGTGAACCATGCTCTCCTGTTAATTAACAATTCACAGACTAATTTGCACCCACTTATCTAAAAGTCACACTGCATAATAAATGAAACCTGATACAAAGATATTTTAATAATGCACAGTGCATGAACTGCTCACACCTGTAAGTTGGGTTCCCTATTGATTTATCCCTCCCGATACTGGAGAATAAAATATGCAAGTCTCAACACCTATAATCTGCCGAAGATCTGACAGCTCATGATTAAACCATGCCACTGCTACATAAAGAAAGTTATACCATGTTAATTATACCAATTAATTTCTAATTAACATTTACTTCAATTAGCTTCACTGTTATTTAATCTGGTGTCCACAGAACTTCATCAATAAGAAATCTCTAATAATATTTATTACCCCACCTTACCCACACATAATATACAATTTTAATGAAAACACACACAAAATAATTAAACATGAAAAAAAATTGTAATGAGTCAAGAGTTTTAGAGGGTATAAAAACGGGTAAAGTAATAATGATAAGACACTATATTTTATAACTTTAAAGTTTGTTGGATTTAAAATTGATAATTTCAACATATCAGTGATAAATTAAGAAAAGAGTAAATGACAGCTTGAACAATACTGATTAAACTAGCCAATATTATACTACTCATTAATACTATTAATACTACAAGTTTTCACATGACCAAAGTCAATCTGTCATGGCCACCAGAGGCCAACTACAATCATATGAAAAAATCAGGTGTTCTTTAACTTCTTTTGAGTGGTATGTAATTCCTGATGGGTGTATATTCTGAAAGCAGTAAGTAGGAAGTAAGCTCCCAGATGTCTTTGTTTGGTTGGATATAATTTCATTCATTGAACTATCTTACACTGCGAAGGGCTCTAATCATGAACAATTATATATAAGCTGCATGTTTTTAGTAAACTTCAAACAAATTTTCAAAAATCTTCTATCATCATATCTCATCATGTATATATCTTTGACAATCTAAAATATATTCAAAACATGACAAAACTGTTCCCTGATCTTGATAAACAGAGAACACTGTACCTACAAAAACCTCTCGTCTAAAGCCCATCACTTCAACAACCACATAAATTTAAAAAAAGTTTCCTTAAAATACACCTTCCTCAAACCTATCGATGACAATCTACAAAATGGACTTATTGACTCAACCAGACAAAGCATAAACTAACCCAAATAAGGCCGTGAGTTTTGTTCGTCAGTGTTAACCAAGTCAACACAGCCCAATTATGATGAAATGTCACACCAAAATTGATTCTGTCCAGTGTGAATGACGAAAACAAGCTCCATATTGATGGAAATTGAGAAGCCTTTGTGTGACAAAGTGGGCTATCAACGACACGAAATGTGCAAGCATTCCCACAAAGAGACAACTACAGTTACTTAGGAATAGGTGTGTCCTGCCACAAGGTGATGAACAGACCCTTGTCAGATCGAAGCTTGTTTTGTGTGTGCTTTAAGATGATGGCACAAAGTCATCATACTGCAAATAAACACAACTATCAATATCAATATTTCTTTTAAAATTCCTACAACGTCTAGTGTTAAATTTGGTAAACATTATTGGAAACAATGATTTAAGGATATGGTTCATGTCCTATTCTGCAACATCTGCATTGGTATGTACACCAGGGACTTGTCTATAGAAAGATCCAGAAATTAGACCTAACAACAAGCCATTTTAACACCTTTTATATATACCAGTAAAAGGGTACCCAATATTTCCACATAATCTACAAAAGGTTAACTGTAGTCATATGAAAATGTTGGGTGTTCTTTAACTTCTTTTGAGTAGTGTGTATATATATATATATAACATTATACAGAAGCAAAATATACTAGTATATATGATAACCATTTATATTGGACCATTTAATTCAATCAAGGTCCATTACTCAAAAATGATGGGTCATGAACCACTTGCTATGAGAGTAACAATGCCACATTTGAATAGCTTGAACTGCCCATCCTGTAAAGATAGTCAGTTTCAGTTTTGGAGGGTATATTGACCATTGCCCATCCCAGAAATAACCCTAACTATAAACTTCTGTATTTGAGCTTACCAAGTACTTCACATATTGCTTTACACAACCAAATTTAACATATTGTGTATTTAAAATTTTAAATTAAAAACAATGTCTTCAAGTACCTTTTCCACAAAAATGATTAATTCAAAACTAAACAATTTACCTAAAATAGCATGATGCCACACAGTCTCAACCCCCCAAATCCTCCTCTTATTTAACCACAAGCCAAAATTAAGGCATGTATTTCAGTCCAATATCCTACCGGAAAGGTTCAGGTAAAATTTAGATACAGCAAAGAATTCTTTGGCCAAATCTCAACACTACAACACCTTGCTATCCTGGCTGGATACAGACATGAAAGACAATGGCTTTTGCATGGGAATTTAACACCCTTGAGGCAGGCTTTCATCTTCAATAGTATTGTGAAGGGGGTTAAATAAACTCGTGATCACACTTTGACACAATAATCTCCTTGCAGCCTCCATGGCAGGGCCTGAGGTTATTTGGACCTACACACGACTATCAGGTATTACTTTCGACGGTCCGAACCTGACAGGGCGTATATCGGGAGACAAATTGTACAGGGGTATTCCATCATAGTTTATACCCTATTTGTGATTTGATTGTAGTGAGAATGCAGCTTTCCTGATGTCCCCAAGCAGCCAAATGCCAGAGTCTTTAGCTGGAGATCTTTTATTCCCAGGCTGTTAATCTGTTGATAATGCTACTTTGAGTAGTTGAAGAGTGTTTTGATCATGTTTATTTGCCTACCCAGCTAATAAAACAGAGGACTACTAGGACAAGATAAAACATGAAGAAACAGGTTCTTCTCAACATCGTAAATATAATACTTCTTGCATGATCTCATTACAACTGACATATATACTACTGAAAAGAAGTTCAAGAACACCCAAATCTTTCATATTAATATAGTTCATGTGAAACAATTGGTTGTTCTTAACTTTTTTTTGAGTAATATTTATAACAATCATTATGAAAAAGGTTTCTTAATAACAATAAATAGTCTATTCCACAGCAACATGTTTTTCATTTCATTATACTGCTTTAAAACATACTAAATAATACATATTATTCATTATTAATAAAGGGTATAAATGTATTGAATGATGAAACTACAAATTGTTACACAGAGAGACATCATAGTTAATATTCATTTCTGCAGTTTCGGTAGTTCTATAAGCACATCATTACTTAACCGTGAACGGGATAAAGGCAGTATGCTGGAAACTCGACAGGTCTTAAACATATCAAATCTATTAAAATGATTTAACAATCAGAGCAAGAAATATATGAGTATATCGCAAGCTAAGAATCGAAAGAATGTCTGGGCATCATACAAAGCAATAAATCACAAGCGGGCGAGCGTATACCTGCATGTATATTATTAATATCATATAAACAACATCAAACTTGTGAACCGATTTATCAAAAGGATAAATTAAAACATCAAGTGATATATAAAAAGAATTTATGATGACATATAGAAGGGAAATTCTTTAAGTATCGTTGTTGTCAGTAAGCGTAGCCGTTCCCATTGAGAGCTCGTTCACCTGAGTTTGAGAGCCTTACAACTCGTGTGTAGTGTGGCTCGCTTTGGAATTGCTGCGTCCTGTCGCGAGTAGCAGACAGAGCGCGTTTGTAAAATCCACACATCGTCCTGGCATCAAATGAATACGGACTTATCAAATTAAGAAATCCATCACTCACCTCGCTATCATTTCGTTGTAAAGTAAATCCAATTAATAAATTCACAACATCACGTACTCCAAGCGATCATTCAAACATGCATATTCTCACCGCCATTACGCCGTGAAGTCACGTGACTATGCCAAAATGACGTCACGGAAAGCGTCCCCCACAACTTGGGACAATATTTCTCATGGGTGATTTAGAATTTTTCCGAGGGAAATGGCTTCAATCGATTCACATGCAATCGAAACAAGCCTTGGTGAATATGAATTTAACAACCAGCCCGATGTTAGAGGATAAATCAAGATCCACTTCGCCACCCGTCTATGTGTGTTTTATTGAATAGCGCACGCAGAGCCAAACAGGGCCTAACATTGTTTGACTTATGCATGGACCTATTCATTTCAACATATGGCATGACGCATGTACTTAATTCAGTAGGGTCAACATGCTGATTTTGTCCCGTCAATATAATCAATGCCGGTTATTGCGGGCGACGAGCATAAAAAACATGAGTACCCTGGCCTTATCAGCTGTGCGCTTCGAACGTGTTGTAAGGCATAATGATATTGTGAAAATATTAACATCAACAAACAAAATCATGTATATTCAAGTTTCGACGTGGCAGTACTATTTATATTAATTACGGCCAATTTATATTTGCATGCATACATTGTGTTTTATTTGTAAATGATATGGGTAAATGTAAACACCATAACATTGTAGCACTGGGTTGATTCTGATATTCTGATTTCTGACCATACATTCATAGGTGTATGTGTAGAAAAAAAACCACTATACTAAGGTTAAACTTTTTTTTAAAGTTCCCCTTTTTGAGCTTTATAATTTTCGATAAAAACTTGTTTAGAAACGGGTTAGGGAAAAACACCCGCAATTAATCATAATCATAACAATAGCTTATTACTGATCACCAAATTCAGTATCAGATGATACGAGTAATTACTATGTTTTTATTGGAAGCGCTCATAAAAGAATAGCCATCCTCATCAAACATAATAGCAATATCACGAGGTACAATAACACTGGGCTATTCATGTCAAATTTGTCTTTTGACCTGCGATTGATGCCTATATGAAACCATATAATCAATATGTAGAATGGATCGTTCGGTTCATTGTTGTCTAAATGTGGGCCCGGGCACCGTACCTTGCGCGGTCAGGGTGGGGGATCTGGGCTATTCACGGGAAAATCAATTTATTTCCGGCTTATATGTCCTTGCATTTGTTGTGTTGTGATATTTGCGGGATTTTAGGTTCAGCGCACTAGTGCTTTCACAGTTTGGATGATTGAATTTTAGGCATATGAGCCAAGACGCTATTTTTATTGTGAATATGCATTTATTGGTTATTATTGTTATGAATAGTATGGTCAGTGTGTGTTGTACGTACAGGTTTATAACATAAGGCTCTTAAAGGTGGTGTATGAAACTGTCATACATACATTATGTCCAATTGTGTATTGTTATATGCGTGACCTGATTTATGTTTGGATGTTCTTATAACCAGGTTGTGGAAAATGTCACGTACTGGGGTTTAAGGTGATCATTTCCGAACTCCTGTTTTGTTTGGTAGTATCTGAATAATTCAGTCAAGTCTATTGAATATATTTGAGACTTGAAACTTCAGCTAAACCCCCAGGCAAGTTTGATGGCAACTAAAAATTAAACAAAAAAGAAATGGGTATTCGACGGTTATGTATTTGAGGCGGGTATCACAGTTGTGTTTTGGGCTGTACTTTACAGTGTTTCCGCGACTATTTTCACCCAAGTAACGATTTGATAACGTTTGTAATTTTGAGGGCAAAACCGATTTTCAAGTGTAATATTTTTTTTTGTCCAAGAGTTTACATAGACCAGTCACATATATATGGCTCGCTAAATACAATGTTTATTTCTATTACAGGATATTTACCATCCCCAAACACACTCGCGTGATAACCTCTATAAATAAAAGGCCTCATTTATCAATACATTAAATACATATTTTTTCCTCCTTATCTAGCATATCATGCACAGGTGATTTTCTTGAGCTTTCAATATAAACATTCGACTTTGTTATCGTCACTCGTCAAATGATTTTCAGATAAATATATGTCAGGGGGAAAAAATACATGATTCAGCAAAATTTGTTTACGACGTGATTAAGGATCGATATATGATAGAAATTATTAACTGGATCAGACACTGTTTCATAAATGCACTTATCGTACATGCGTTTTCCAGGCCATCGTTTCTACATTTGATTGATAACACTACTTTCTATTCATAACAAGTTGAACACCAGACTCTTGTAATACAAATCGTGCCTTATAAGCAGTTTGCTGTGTATGTATTTCGGGCCTGGGGCCTTATACTGTCTGTCTGTCTGTTTGTCTGTCTGTCTGTCTGTTTGTCTGTCTGTCTGTCTGTCTGTCTGTCTGTTTGTCAGTCTGTCTGTCTGTCTCTCTGTCTGTAAGTCAGTCAGTCAGTCAGTCAGTTAGTTAGTTAGTTAGTTAGTTAGTTAGTTAGTTAGTTAGTTAGTTAGTCTGTCTGTCTGTCTGTCTGTCTGTCTGTCTGTCTGTCAGTCTGTCTGTCTGTGGATTCCGGGTTATAATCGGATGGTCAGGTTCATTGCGTGTCATCGTACTCCGACGGCGTGTATAGGTGCTCATAATATCAATCACTGGCTTGTCTGGTGCAGACTCGATTTTCGTCATATTGCTGAGTGCGACGTTAAACAACAAATAAAATCTAAAGAAAGAATGGATGCTCTAGTCTCAACACAAAATGCATTCTAATTAATTCTGTTAAATCAAGATTCATCATCCAGTTCAACCGCTCGAAAGTTTGCAAAATTACAAAGACAATCCACATGATAATATAATTACACTGTGACATGCTCTCGGGTCTAGTTCAAGCAAACAAAAGCTTATGATGTGAGCATTGATAATTCATATTCAGTTACGGTGACGCCGGCAGCTACGTCGCCGGATGGACACCGTGACCCCCACTACCCGCTGTCCGCTCTGTGTAGCCATTGCGTCCACTCGATACACCAAGCCCCCACCACGGTGATTATTTATGACGAAACAGCCCTTGGTGGTGTGCTGTGTAGACATGGAGTGGAAATCTATTTGATGCCGACAGGTGTTAATACCAATATTCAAGATCACCCGTGATTTACTCCAGGTGTGTGTGTGTCACGTGCCTACCCAGGTTAAACATGGGTTACATACATACATATATATATATATATATATATATGTATATATATATCAACATTTGTAATAATAAGCACGCGCGCACTTGTGCCTGCAGTCCGTGTCTGCAAAAAATGGTGAATGTCACCTTGTGCCAGTGTGAGAGTGAATGTGTGTCGACTTGTCTCCTCTATACAGACACTGTCAGTGTGAGAGTGAATGTGTGTCGACTTGTCTCCTCTATACAGACACTGTCAGTGTGAGAGTGAATGTGTGTCGACTTGTCTCCTCTATACAGACACTGCCTGTGTGAGAGTGAATGTGTGTCGACTTGTCTCCTCTATACAGACACTGTCAGTGTGAGAGTGAATGTGTGTCGACTTGTCTCCTCTATACAGACACTGCCAGTGTGAGAGTGAATGTGTGTCGACTTGTCTCCTCTATACAGACACTGCCTGTGTGAGAGTGAATGTGTGTCGACTTGTCTCCTCTATACAGACACTGCCTGTGTGAGAGTGAATGTGTGTCGACTTGTCTCCTCTATACAGACACTGCCTGTGTGAGAGTGAATGTGTGTCGACTTCTCTCCTCTATACAGACACTGCCTGTGTTAGAGTGAATGTGTGTCGACTTGTCTCCTCTATACAGACACTGTCAGTGTGAGAGTGAATGTGTGTCGACTTGTCTCCTCTATACAGACACTGCCTGTGTGAGAGTGAATGTGTGTCGACTTGTCTCCTCTATACAGACACTGCCTGTGTGAGAGTGAATGTGTGTCGACTTGTCTCCTCTATACAGACACTGCCTGTGTGAGAGTGAATGTGTGTCGACTTGTCTCCTCTATACAGACACTGTCAGTGTGAGAGTGAATGTGTGTCGACTTGTCTCCTCCATACAGACACTGCCTGTGTGAGAGTGAATGTGTGTCGACTTGTCTCCTCTATACAGACACTGTCAGTGTGAGAGTGAATGTGTGTCGACTTGTCTCCTCCATACAGACACTGCCTGTGTGAGAGTGAATGTGTGTCGACTTGTCTCCTCCATACAGACACTGCCTGTGTGAGAGTGAATGTGTGTCGACTTGTCTCCTCCATACAGACACCGCCAGTGTGAGAGTGAATGTGTGTCGACTTGTCTCCTCCATACAGACACTGCCTGTGTGAGAGTGAATGTGTGTCGACTTGTCTCCTCCATACAGACACCGCCTGTGTGAGAGTGAATGTGTGTCGACTTGTCTCCTCTATACAGACACTGCCTGTGTGAGAGTGAATGTGTGTCGACTTGTCTCCTCTATACAGACACTGCCTGTGTGAGAGTGAATGTGTGTCGACTTGTCTCCTCTATACAGACACTGTCAGTGTGAGAGTGAATGTGTGTCGACTTGTCTCCTCCATACAGACACTGCCTGTGTGAGAGTGAATGTGTGTCGACTTGTCTCCTCCATACAGACACTGCCTGTGTGAGAGTGAATGTGTGTCGACTTGTCTCCTCTATACAGACACTGCCTGTGTGAGAATGAATGTGTGTCGACTTGTCTCCTCTATACAGACACTGCCTGTGTGAGAGTGAATGTGTGTCGAGTTGTCTCCTCTATACAGACACTGCCTGTGTGAGAGTGAATGTGTGTCGACTTGTCTCCTCTATACAGACACTGTCAGTGTGAGAGTGAATGTGTGTCGACTTGTCTCCTCTATACAGACACTGCCTGTGTGAGAGTGAATGTGTGTCGACTTGTCTCCTCTATACAGACACTGCCTGTGTGAGAGTGAATGTGTGTCGACTTGTCTCCTCTATACAGACACTGCCTGTGTGAGAATGAATGTGTGTCGACTTGTCTCCTCTATACAGACACTGCCTGTGTGAGAGTGAATGTGTGTCGACTTGTCTCCTCCATACAGACACTGCCTGTGTGAGAGTGAATGTGTGTCGACTTGTCTCCTCCATACAGACACTGCCTGTGTGAGAGTGAATGTGTGTCGACTTGTCTCCTCCATACAGACACTGCCTGTGTGAGAGTGAATGTGTGTCGACTTGTCTCCTCCATACAGACACCGCCTGTGTGAGAGTGAATGTGTGTCGAC